GGTCTCTGGAGAGAGGGAGGCAGAGACCAGGGGAGGGGAACTGGGGGTAGAGATGGGGGTGCAGGGTGAGAGGAGTTTGGGTGTGAGCCAATGGTAAGTAGTCTGGGCTTCAAAGTTAACAAAAGTCCACAGCCTGTAGCCTGAGGGTGATACCAGAAGCGTCCACCAAGCCTCACACACACACATCACCACAGCTGGAGGCTGCACAGGAGCTGCTGGTAGAAGCCATCACTGCAGGAATCCTGGGTGACCTGGGCTCCGGGGGCAATGTAGATGCATGTGTGATCACAGAGACCGGCGCCAGGATGCTGCGAACACTGAGCTCGCCCACAAAGCCCATTGAGAGGTGGGAGCAAGAGAGATGGGGGAACCGCTGGGGAGGATGGGCTGTAGCAGGTAAGGTTGGGGGCTATAAGAGGACAGGTCACATGATGGGCCCACATTGAGAGGCCATTTCTCCTCTCTGCCAGGCCCAGGCAGTACCGCTTTGCCCCTGGGACCACCGCTGTCCTGGCCCAGACAGTGACGCCACTGCCACTGGAGCTGGTGGAGGAAACTGTGCAGACCATGGAGGTGGAATGAAGTAGGCTGAGGCTTAGAGCTTTGAACAAGGGGAATAAATGCAAAAAATACAAACACCTGAATAAATGGTTATGTTGTTCTTGGGTAGAGGGTGCAAGCAGCCCACAGGGCTCTCCAAATACGGTATCATCCCTTCAGGGGCCACTCCTTCGGCTCCAGTGTTTGGTCTAAGAGGTGCCCTTTATTCATTACCATAGGCGTCTACTCTGCTCCAGAACCTGAGCCCTGGCAAGCATTGAAGGCTCAAGGTGGAAAGCCCCTTCCTGACTCCACACCAGAGGTCCACCTACCACTCCCACACCTTGCTCTTGTCCTCTAGTCCATTCAGGACTGTTGTAAAACCTGAAAGGTCCCAGGTACTGCCTCTACTTAGAGCCTTTGCCTGGCTCATCAGTTGCCCAGGGCAAAGCCCCCACCCAGGATTCCAGTGAGGGCTAAAGTGCCGATAAAGGATCTGTTCCCTGATTCCAAGAGCAAGTTCTCACAGAGCACTCCTCATGCATGCTACAACTTTAGCTGCAAAACATGAAGCTAAAACCTGGGCTGTGCGTAGGGGGCTTGACTCCAAGTTTTCTGGGCTGACAGGGACCACAGAGCTCATGTAAGGACAAGATGACATGACACATTTATCCAACAAGTCTTTGCTGATCACCCTAAGTGCTAGGCCCAGGTGCTGGGGTAGCAGCATCCTGTCCTCAGAATGGCTGAGCTCCACTGGAATTTTCCAACTGCCCAACCTCTGGGGAGGGTCTGCTCTAGGCTGAACATCCCTGGGCCCGATTATGCTTTTCCCTCAACATTTTATTGTTTTAAAACATAAATCTTGTAAACATAAATGCTGGAAAAGAAACCAACGGAGACAAGAGGGAAGGAGGGAGGGGTGGGCAGGGGAAAAGGAAGGGAAGGGGAAAGTCAAGGGACATATAGCAAGGACTCATGGACAAAACAAAAGGGGAAGGATCGAGTGGGGGAGAAGGGGAGGAGGCAAGGGAAAGTGGTGAGGGGAAGGCAGAGACAAATGTATTTGAAAAAGTAATTTAAAAAAAAAACACATAAATCTTGAGGAGTTGTACAATGAACACCCATATACCCATCACATCTGCTTTACCAAAATATCTATTCACCCATCCCTCTCTTCAACCATTAACTCACTTCTTTAACTGATGTGTTCTTGGATTAGTTGAAACCCTCATGCTCCTAGAAGGAAGCCAGCCAACTTATCCATGGTAACTTTGCACACAGGGGCCTCTTCTCTCCTTTGGTCAAGCTTGATAACAAACAGGCTGTAGGCACCAGGGGTTTGCCCACGTGAGCCACAAGACATGGAGGTTACCAGAGATTTGATGACTGTCATCCTACCAGCATCCATACAGGGTTGGGCAGCAGTCACCAAAGGTACACACCTTGTGCCTCCTGTGCACCAAGGCCCCTCCCAGGCATCATTTCCTCATTAAGCGCGTGGTCTTCAGAGCCAGATAAATGAGGTTTGAGTCCAGCGACACCATGTGTTGGTGGGAGAGTCACCATCTGTGTGAACAAAATGTGACTCCCATTCTAAAGTGAGGAAACATCGTCCTAGTCAGGTGGCTTAGTTGGTTGAAGCATCTTCCCTGTACACACTGAGAGGATACAGGTTAAATTTCCAGTTAGAGCACATACCTATGTTGTGGGTTCAATCCCTGGTCAGGGCACATACAGGAGGCAACCAACTGATGTTTCCCAAATCAATGTTTCTCTCTCCTGCTCCTTCCCTGTCACTCTAAAATCAATAAACAAATCCTTGGGTGATGTTTTAAAAAATAAAATGAGGAATTCATATCCTGCTAGAACCCCTGTCCTAGCCACATGATGCTGACCCTCCACAGCAGAGCTGGTACAGCTGGACATTTCCTCCACCAGTCAGGAACACCCCTGGGTGCTGAGCAGGCTTCCCTGAGTCTGGTGCCCCTGACAGGCCTGGGAGACTTTCCTGATCCCAGTCACGAGGTGGTCACCATATACTTACAGTTAAGTCCTTTGAACCGAGTGCTCAGCACTTGGGATGGGAAGTGGTTCAGGTAGTCAATCAGAGATCAGGTTTTAGGGGTGGAGGAGGTGAGAAACTCACACCTGGGCTCTTTCTGATAAGTCCAGGCCTGGATCAAGAACCCTGGCCTAGAGAGACCCTCCTCCAGAATAGAGCGTGGGACAGGGCTGTGCCCATACAGCTGGCCTGGCCTCATGCCTGGGACTTTAGCCCAAGGACGAGGAGACTTATAAAGCCAGGCCGAGTTCTCCACCTCACGCCTGCCACAATGATGTTGCTCAGCCTGACCCTTACCCTGACCCTGCTCGGCTCCTCCTGGGGTAAGTAGGCCTGGACCAGCCTTGGCTCCCAGCATCAGCCCAGGCTTCCTGTCCAGGGGCTCAAGGAGGGGACCAGGCTGTCTAGAAGGGAAGCAGGCAGAGAGTGGGTAAAGGAAAAAGGATGTGCCAAGGCTGTGAGGAGACAAGAGGCTGACAAGAGCTCGGGCCAGGTTCAGGAGTCAGGGAGGGTTTAGGAAGCTGAAAAATGAAGGTTGGACATGTAGTTTAGGAAGAGCCCTCTGGTTGTATGAAGCAAGGAGCGGGTAAGGGGGCCAGAAGACTATCCAGGGGTCAGGAAGACAAGTGGCCTGGGCTGGAGGGTAGAAATGGAGTTGGGGAACAGTGGGGAGTTGGTTGGAGAGAGGGAGAGAGTGGATAGCACTTGGGGGCTAGTTGGGTGGGAATGATCAAGAATGTACAGGGGCCCAGGAGCAGCTCAGGACAAGAAGGGGTAGTGATGAGTCCTCTCCATTTGGACTCCTCTGGGGTGCAGTGCTGGCAGCATTTGGAAGGAGAGGGGAGAGGTGGGCTGGGGTGTGGGAAGCAGGTCCTCACCAGCCCAATGGCCAGGCTGCGGCATTCCTGCCATCAGACCGGCACTGAGCTTCAGCCAGAGAATTGTCAACGGGGAGGATGCAGTGCCAGGCTCCTGGCCCTGGCAGGTGTCCCTGCAGGTAAAGGCACCCTGGGGATGGGACAGGGTCCCAGGTGTTTCATGCCTAGGCAAAGCCTGAGTTCTCCTCCCACTTCTGACTCCTGACCCCAGGACAATAGAGGCTTCCACTTCTGCGGTGGTTCCCTCATCAGCCCATCCTGGGTGGTCACCGCTGCCCACTGCAATGTCATGTGAGTGCTCCCACACCACCTGCCCCACCCCAGCCCACCTCTCCCCACTTCTTTCCTTTAGATGCCCTTCTCTTGTTGCTTTTCCCTCCCTTCGGCTGCCTAACCCCACTCTCACTGCAGCCCTGGCCGTCACTTTGTCGTCCTGGGCGAGTATGACACATCATCCAATGCTGAGCCTTTACAAGTTCTGTCCATCTCGCGGGTAAGTGCCTGGGCTGCAGACATGGGACGGAAGAGTGGGCAGTACAGGTGGGTGCTATCCCGGTGGCCTGCCCTGCCCTAGCCCCCTTAGCATCTATCAACCCTGGGGGCCTGTGCTCACCCCATCTTACATGGCCCCTTCCTGGCTCCACAGGCCATCACACATCCGTACTGGAACCCCACCACCTTCAACAATGATGTGACACTACTGAAGCTCGCCTCCCCAGCCAAGTACACAACGCGCATCTCACCAGTTTGCCTGGCTTCCCCAAATGAGGTGTTGCCTACAGGCCTCACTTGTGTCACCACGGGCTGGGGCCGCATCAGTGGCACAGGTAGGAGCCTAGGCCAAAGATCTGGGTGGGAGAGCTAGGGTAGGGACAAGTTATCGGGGGACTAACTACCCCCTTCTGGCACACAGGCAATCTGATCCCACGACGCCTACAGCAGGTGGCCCTGCCCCTGGTCACTCAGAACCAGTGCCGGCAGTACTGGGGCTCGCGAATCACTGACTCCATGATCTGTGCAGGCGGCTCAGGGGCCTCCTCCTGTCAGGTGAGCACCGGCACCCTGTCCTGTCCTCTGGCATCACCCAGTCCCCCATGCTGACTTCTCCCCTCTCCTTCCCTCAGGGTGACTCTGGAGGCCCTCTTGTCTGCCAGAGGGGGAACGCATGGGTGCTTACAGGCATCGTCTCTTGGGGCACCAGCAACTGCAACGTGCGCGCACCTGCCATGTACACTCGGGTTAGCAAATTCAGTACCTGGATCAACCAGGTCACAGCCCAAAACTGAGCCTACCCACAGGCCCCTCCCCTCTTAATCCAATAAAGACCCCAGACTATCCTCTTGTGTCATCTGGTTTGTCCTCCTGGCTCACAGGAGTCTATCCCAACTTGGACTTTGTCTTCCAGCAAGGCAGGTGTTGAGGAGTCAGGATCTCCCTTGAGCAGCCATGCCCAGGCTGTGACCCCCCACCTCGCCTCCTCCTGGGTGACTCCTTGGTCCACAGCAAGGAGCCTGGGCTGTCGTAATGGGCAGCCTTCCCTGAGGAGGGCAGCCTGTTTATTGAGTACAGAGGATACATTTACCAACTGAGTACACAAAATAAATAACTGCACATTCTCCATCCCCTGTCCATGGCATAAAAGCCCAGGTGGGCCTATCAAAGGCCCAGGTCTCCAAACTCCCTCTGTCCCACCTTCAAGACCAGGCCTGTCCTGGGCAAGAGAGGAAAGAATTCCCCAGGGCTTTAAGCCCCCAGAGGCACTTGGGAAAGTGGGGGGAGTTCTGAGGCCATGGGACTTGGGCTCTCCACTGCCTTGTGCCAGGGGCACGGGGGCAGAAGGAGAGGGTATAAAAGGCACAATCGACTTGGCCCAGTGGTCTCTTTGGCTTGGTTTCCCACTAAAGGTGACACATGCAGAAAGAGGAGAGCCTGGCCCAAAGCTACCACTGGGAGGAACTGGGTGGGGGCCAAACCCTCCCTGTTGGCAGGGGCCCCGCAGTCTAACTAAGGCTAAAGCTGGGCCCTGGCTCCTTCCCACCCACTGAAAGCAGCTGCAGAGGGAGGGGGCTTGGGATCCAGCCCAGTTTGTGGTGGGGGGAGGCACCATGACTGACACGGGGCGGTCTGGCTCAGGCCTCTGGGAAAGCAGCCACCTAATTCCACCCACCTCCTGCAGGGGCTCCCTCAAGCCTGAGATTCAGTGGGGCCCAGACTGCAAAGGTAATGCTGTGAAAAGAAGCGGGGACAGGCTGGACTAGGCAAGGCCAGTGCCCCAGGTGCTCAGGGTTCAGAGGCAGGTCACACAGTTTGGCTAAGTTCCAGGGGGAGCTGCACAGCTCAGTGGAAGGGGAGAGTAGAGCAGCCTGGAGACCCTCCCTCAAAGCAGCAGATCCTTGCTTCCCACTTCCTCTTGAAGGGTGAAAGGTGAGCAAGGTTCCTAGGCTGCCTATACTCATGCCAGACACTAGATGTCGCCTTCATGCAGCTGCAGAGGAGGGAAGAGCAGAGCCTGAAGGGAAAGGGCCATGGGGGTACCAAGGGTAGAGCCAGAACTGGCACTGGAACCCTGATGGGGCTTCTCCTTGGGAAGCCCCTGCCCTCTGCCTTGGCCCAGGTGCCTCCATCCCCCAGCTAGCAGCAGTGGGGCTCCCTTTAATGCCCCACAGTTGGAAGGAGGCACCTGGAGAATAGAAGAGGCATATAGGGTAAGAGGGAGGCGATGGTAGGCTCTGCAAAGTAGGCACTGGGAGCAGTGGCTGGTGATGGGCAGAACCCTCTCACAGTCAGAGAAAGGCTGGAGCCTGGAGCCAGCCTGCTACCAACAGGGCCACACAATCCAGAAGGGCCGAGCTCCATGAAGGAAGACAGATCTTGGCTGAGGTGGGGGCTGTTTAGACTTAGCCAGGGGATGAGAGTCCCATCAAGACACAAGTTTTGTGCCTGCCTGGGCCTCTCACTGGAGCATAATCATCGGGATCAGGATGCCGTGGAATGTGGGAGGCCAGGCAGGAAGGCTTGGTAGAGGTAAGGGGGTTCCCAGAAGTAACTGTCCCAAAGAGTCCTGGAACAACAGGACACCCTCTACCTGGCACTGCCTGCCTCTTTGGTCTGGGGAAGAGCCAAGGACAAGGGGTGAAGGAGACTGAAGGCCAGGCCTTCCTCTTCCCCCAACTTGTACTAGAGCAATTACCCACCTAAAGGAACAACAGTGTCAGGCCAGGCTCCTAGTTCAGAGGGCTCCCAGTCCCCTGGGCTCCCTCCATTCTGTCACACCAGGCCCAGTGTGAGGATGGGGACTACTTAAGGCACAGAAAAGTGGCTGGGGCCATTCACCTACCACTGGCCACATAAGCCTATCTCCAGAGAGGGCATTGGGCCCAGATGGCGTAGCAGTGTGTGACCAGGCTGGGACCATGCCATATCTCTACCACTGCCAGGCAGCTCAGCCGTTGTATTGCTGCTGGTAGCGCAGGTTGAGCTCCCTCAGCTCCCGCTCCCGTACACGGCGTGACTTGTTGGAGCGCGTCGAGCGGCTGGAACGTGTAGACTGGGCAGATTTGGTGCTCTGGCAGCGTGAGGAGGCGCGTTTGAGGAGGTTCTGGGAGATGGAGCGGTGCAGATTCTTCATGGACGAAGAGGCTGCCATGCTCACCACCCACGGGTGCCTCAGGGCCTGCATTGCAGTCATTCGGGCGCTAGGATCCACTGTCAGCAGGCGGTCAATGAAGTCCTTGGCCAGGTTGGATACGCTGGGCCAGGGCTAGAGGCCAAGGACAAGCATTAGACCGAGAGCACTGAACATTGCCTTCCCCATCCCAACAATGCCACTACCACTGCACTCAGATCTGTCCAGCATATGCACTCTCCCACTAGGGGCACTGCCTGGCTCTTCCAAAGCGGAACATTCTGAGCCTCCTCCCCCCACCCAGAGAGCAGAGGCTGTTCTGACAAGGCATCTGACAAAGAGGAGGGCCTGCCCTCCTCCCCGAGGAGCAAACTTCTAAGGGTCCCTGGACTTAAAGCCTGGCTCAGGAAGGTGGCCCCTGTAAAGAACTGCATTCCGCTTGCCGCCCCCCACCCCCATTTACCCCAGGACCACTGTAACTCATGGGTTTGAAAGGGAATGATCAAACCTTCATCTATATCCTTAGCCAGGCTATTTTTATTTTTAAAAGAGAACAAATCCATTTTTACTTATTTAGTTTTCAATAAGTTTAAATCCTTGAGGGGTACAGTAGTACACAGATTCTGTGTCCGATGGCCTTAAAAGAAGGTTGCTTTGGAATTTAGCACAGACCATGCTTTCTATGAGCATGAGTTACCTTTCCCAATTACTGTGGTTTTGTTTGGTTTGCCACCAGGAGTCACGATGTTGTTCTTTGCCTTGTACACATAAGTAGATCTCTTGCCTAGAGAATTGTTTCATCTCAAGCATAAATACCTTTAATTTTTTTAAATCTTTTTTTAAAAGATTTTATTTATTTACTTTAAGAGGGGAAAGAAGGGAGAAAGAAAGGGAGAAAAACATTGATGTTAGAGAGAAGCTCCAAACAGCTGCTTCTCACATGCCCCCAACCACAGACTCGGCCCAAAACCCAAAGCATGTGCCCTGGCTGGGAACCAAAGCAGGGACTTTTTGGACTGCAGGTTCAATCCACTGAGCCACACCAACCAGGGAAACACCTTTAATTTTAAGAACTGCCCTGATTAGTGGGATTGGGCGTCATCCCGCAAACCAAAATGTCAATGGTTCAATTCCTGGTCAGGGCACATGCCTGGGTTGTGGGCCAGGTCCCCAGTTGGGGGCATGAGAGAGGCATCTGACTTATGTTTCTCTTTCATATTGGTGTTTCTCCGTCTCTCCATTCCCCCTCTCTAAAAAATAAATAAATAAAATCTTTAAAAAAGAAGAAGAGCTGTGTGTTCCCTCTTGTTCTGGAGATCCCGCTGATAAGCCTTCCAGACATATTTGCCATTTCAGAAGCCCTGTTCCCAGCAGGCCTTAACAAGCTCCAACAGCCACACTTAAACTCTAATCCCTGGATGCCTATACCAGGGCAAGTTAGATTAGGAAGTTAGAGGCAAATTTCCTAGTCCTTAAAGAGAGGCCCCACCCTCCCTCTAACTAACAAAGTGGTGGAGGGCAACGAGGACAGGCCCTGCATCAGCCTCAGCCTCCCAGCCATGGGGAGGAAAGGAAACAAGTCAAGGCAACTAGATTTTTCCATCTGCTGAGAAGAGAGGGGTTCTTGTGGACTGGGCGGGGACGAGGGCCTTCTCAGGGGCACTCTCCAGTCTACATGACCTCCCTAAGCCACGCAATGGCTCCTGACAGTGCTCTGCACAAGCCTCATTTTTTAAAAGATTTTATTTATTTTTTAGAGGCAGGAGAAGGGAGGGAAAAAAGAAACATCAATTGTGCAAGAGAAACACCAATCAGTTGCCTCTCACATGCTCCAACTGGGGACCTGGTCGACAACCCAGGCATGTGCCCTGACAGAAAATTGAACACGCAACCTTTCATTTCGCAGGCTGCTGCTCAACCCACTAAGCCACACCAGTCAGGGCTCAGCCTCATTTCAGCACATCTGTTTCCAGGGAGGAATAGCAGAAAGCCTTTTCTGTGTCCTCTCCTGGAACTGCTTCAAGGCCATGGGGCCCTGGCAGGCAGGGCCCAGACACCTTGGGCCCTGAGCCCCTCTGGAGGGCTGAAGGAGGGCAGACGCAGCGCTGCTTCAAGTCCCAGCATCTTCCGGGGGCACTCTGGCATGGGTTCTGATGCTCCCTAAAGGGTGGTGGCTAGGATCTTAGCTGAGCCTGTGGTAGATGACCAACACCTTCCTTCCTGCCAGGTGAGATCTTCCTGTTGTGCCTCACAGTGCCCTTCAGCTTGTAGAACCCCTGAACACACTCTCTAGGGGATACAGGAAAATCTGAGAGCCCACAACTGGGGCAACTGCACTCCTATTCAGCAGACACATTTAAGCAGTGACTATTGCTGCCCCGAGTTGGGCTCCTTGACCTCCAAATCCTTCCCACTGCCCTTCCCCACTAGTGTCCAGAGGTGGAGCAGGAAGACTACTTATCCAGAGTCCTGAAGAAGGGGGAGGGCTACTTGCAGTTGCTAGCCCTACCTGCCCTTTGGAAGGCAAACCTCAACTTTTATTGAGCTGAACTGGAAGAAAATAACAGAGAAACCACATTTCTAAACAGCCACCTAGCAGGGTCTTCCACAACAATGGGCCAGCTCCCAGTTTCCTGGGGTGATAGATACTGGACCTCAGGAGGGTGGACAGTCAGGGCCTCAGGAACATACAACCCAGGGAGGCCCACAAATACCTTGCTCAGAGTAGTGAGGTGGTACAGGGAGCAATGACCCTCCCACACAGGCAGCCTGCTCCACGTATCCCTACAGGCCTCCAGTACTGAGGCCAGCATGCAGGGTGACTACAGTTGTTATCACGGTAGCTTTTGGCTCATACTTCAAGAAAGCCCCATGGCTTGCTGCTGCCATCTGAGTATGAGGAGCAAATGTGAGGGCCAGCCAGTCCAGACCACAAACACTCACTGCAGCCCCCATCACTCATTTAAGAGATGGAAAGAAGCAGGCACAATGGGGCGGGCCACTGATGGACACTGCATATCTAGAACTGAGCAAGTTGGGTAATGGGAATACCAGTGCTACCCTGCCATCTTTTATGGCCTCCAAGAAAAGGAGAAATCACTGGGGAACACACTATCGCTCAGCCTGGTCTGTTGGTGGGAGAGCCCCAAGACACAGCTGGCAGCCTGTGTTAGCCAATCAGGGCTAGGGCATGGATTCTGCCCCTGCCCCTTAGTCTAGCCAAGATAGAAGAGGGGCAACTCCTCTGCAGATGAAAGAATAAAGAGCTGCAAAGTTGGACCCACAAGCCAAGAACTTGAACATAAACGGATTGGAGGCTTCTCCACTTTACATGCACACCCACCCAAACCAAGGCCCCCTGCAGCTCCAAACCAGTCCAATGGAGTCTTAGAGGGGCCTCTCACCGCACCTGTCATATGGGCTTAAGCATCCAGATCTCCAGAGTGGCACAGGCACACACCAGGCGTCGACCCCCTGCTGCTTCTCGAGTGAGTAGCCCATTAGTGCCAAAGCGAATCAGATTGATCTGCCCCTCCCACTCTCCCAAATGCTTGCCTCTCCAATTACTTGTGTACGTGAGACTGTGTGCAGAATGCAGAGGGACTCATTTGTCTCAGGGCCATCCCAGCCCTCTCTGGCAGGCCCCAGTTCTCCCCATCTTTGAAGAGCTGTGAGTAAATGGGCTTGGTGGGTCCCCCGAGCCAATATGATTGAAGCCATACCGACCTGAGAACCAGGCTATGCCAATGGCCTCCAGCCTAACCATCACACACTGAGGAACTTGCCTCAGGAAGTCAGGCAAGTGGAACACAGGGAGGTGGTCTTCACCTAGCCTGCTAACAGTGGGGCAGAGCTTAGGCTGACTTCTCGAAAAGGGGCCTCTGGGAGCCCTGATGAGGTTGCCAATGGGGCTCAGAAAAGAAAACCAAGGCTTTCCACACTCCGTGGCCACGCTTCCGGCCCTAAATCCAATTCAGGACCTCCTGAGAAAGGGTTTGGCACCTACAGACCAACCCACCTCCTTCCTCAACATGTCTGGGCCTCTGGAAACACATGAGTATGGCTATCAGCCTATGAAAGACTGGCCAGGAAGTATTCTGGACATAAGAAAAAGAAACATGATTAAACAGTGACACCCTTGGGTTTGCACAACTCTCCTGGCTCTGGGTAAAGAACGGAACTCTCACCTTAGTGTACCTGGGCCCAGATCAGGGACACACATGGGCCTCAGGTGGCTGACAGAAAGGACAGACCCCAGGAACCACCCTGGTCAGTCTCCCAGAGGTTTCCACCTATTTCTGGGCTGCCATGGAGGAAAATGTTAAAACGTCAGTTTGCCTTGCCTCCAGACACTCAGGTCTCCCTCTGCTGTGGGATCAGAGGACAGCTGTACCACACAGGATGACAGCTCACATCCTCCTTTCCACAAGTCTCTCATGAGCTGTGTGGGTAGGGGTTGGGCTCTGTCCTGTGGACAAAGGGAGGCTGTTGGAGGAGGACCATCACCTCCCCCCTGGCTCTGACCATCAAGCTGGCTGCCCGTCCCTCTATTCCATATCCTCCAGAGTCCTTTTCCCTTTGCAATTAGGGTAGCGACTACTGATATTGTCACAGCAGAGAAGCTAACCGGGTCTAGAGGAGGGACCTCTCCCATCGGCACTTCTTTACCAACTTTACCCACTTCATCCTGTGCTTACGCTGGACCAGTCACTCCTCAGCAGTGGAGTCCAAATCTCCCTTGAGAGGGAGGCACCAAATCCCAAAGGGCTTTCCACTCCAGCTCAGACGATGTACCTCCCTATTCCCTGGCCCATTTAGCTTGCTCTACCTTTTTGGGGGGAGAGAGGGGAAAGGAGGGGGAAAAAGGGAAACATCGATGTGAGAAAGAAATAGGTTGGCTCTCGTATCCGCCCCGACTGGGGACCGAACTCGCCACCTAGGCATGTGCTCCAACCAGGAACTGAACTGACACCCTGAAGACTTATGGGATGACATACAATCAACTGAGCCACATCGGTCAGGGCATAACTTACTCTACCCTTAATGTCACAAGGGCCTAGCAAGAACATTACCCAGGCCACTACCAGTGACCTCACCTGGAGCTCAAGGAATAAGGGTTAGGCTGGGGGCCAAGG